TTTTAAAGTAAATTTTATAAGATTGTTGATTGAATTTTTTGATAGTACATTTCCCTTAACCTGACAGAGCAACCTGTGCTTTGTTTGTTTGATGCCTGGATTTTGTGTGAGGTCCATCCATATGATATGTGGATGGATGGACAGATGGATGGATGAATGGACAAATGGATGGAAGAATGTGTGGGTGGGAAGGATGGATGGATGGGTGGATAGATAGAGATGGGCAGATGGATGAATGGATGAACAGATAGACAGGTACACAGGCAGATGGATGAGTGGGCTGGTGAACTGACAGGCAGGTGGGCAGATGGATGGATGGACAGACAGATGGATGGATATATGGATGTGTGGGTGAGTAGATGGCTGGATGGATGGATGGGAGAGTGGATGGATGGATGGATGGATGGATGGATGGATGGATGGGAGGGTGGGAGAGTGTGTGGATGGATGGGTGGGTGGGTGGATGGGTGGATATATGGGTGGGGGTAGAGGTGGATGGATGGGTGGGTGGGTGGGTAGGTGGATGGGTGAGTATGTGAGTGGATGGATAGGTGGGTGGGGGTGGATGGGTGGATGGATGGATGGATGGGTGGATGGGTGGGTGGATGCATGGGTGGGTGACTGGGTGGGTGGGTAGTTAGGTGAGTGGGTGGGTGGATGCATGGGTGGGTGGATGGGTGTGGGGGGGTAGATGGATGGGTGGATAGATGGGTGGATAGACAGACTAGTGAGTGGGCTGAGTAGATTTTGCTAATCTGAACCCACCATGGGAAGGGAGGTGGTTCTACTCTCCCTTGTAGTGATGACTTGGGGGTACCTCTGCACCAGCACCACATTCTGAGGCCTCCACCAGGCCCTGCTCTATCGGCTCCTGAGAACTATCTCTTGCAACATCTGCAGCCCCAGGACCAACCATGTCACCTGGAGACTGTTGATTGCAAAGGCTTTAAGGTGTAGAGCTGGTGAAAGTGGAGGAGGAGACTACAGGAAAGGTTCTGGGTCTTATCTTGCCCTTCACAGCTCTGGGATTCTCAAGAAGGGCTGATCCACTTCCTCCCTCTGGAGTCACGGTAGCATTTTATATAGGTGAATGCCTTAGGCCAAAGCACAGGCTTCCCTCATGAGAGGCTTTCCCGTAATGACTCACAAATACACAACAGCTTATCCCTGCTACTGCCTGTTTGGTCTAAAGTCAGGACTCTGGTAGTGTGACACACTGTCCCAATTTCTTGGTCCCATTTTAAGGTAACCATGAGTATTTGGTCCCAAAGTCAGCCTCTGCAATCTTCTCATGAGCACTGAGGACAGAGCCTGCACTCTGACCTGGGAAGAGGGAACTGTAGTGCTCAGCTTTTTCTTCTCTTCTCCACCTGGATGACATGGGTGAGCACCGTGGCCAAGCTGCATTGCGGCAAGCACAGGAGAGCAGCTGTAGTCACCAAGTTTCAAGTGTTACATGCTTATTGAGACATTCCCGCATTCCACATCCTCCTGCTGAAGGCACTGTTCTAAAAGCATCCATCTACCGGAGGCACAATTCCTGATGCTTACTTATTGGGACCCAGAAGCAGCCCAGAACATTAACCTGGGAAGTGAGACACCTCTTTATCATCACACTCTATAGGGACAGAGGGACAGGGCTGGGGGAAATAGTCAGGAAACTGAACCACAGTCTCTAAAAGCCTGCAATCTTAAAGATTTCCTCCTGCTTAGAGGGTGACATGACAGGGCACAGGCCAGGGGCATGAGGTCCATACAGAGAGCTGGTATCTTCCCCAGAGGTGCCGGTGGCACTGCCCACAGCTGTACCGCAGTCACCGCCCTGAACAAGCACTCTAGTGAAGGAACAGAACTGCTTTTGAGCTCAATCAGAGCCTCGGGCTCTCCATGGCCTGCAGTGTCTGGGCAGACACGGGACTCCATGTCGCCTATCTGAGCCCAAGGCCCGGTGGCACTCACCATAGAACTGGCTGAGCTCCAAGCTCTCAGCACCACCTCCCCTCAGCTCACTCACCCCATCTTTCCCACCTGAGTACATGCTGCGGGGCAAAGCAGCATTCATCAGCCAGCCCAGGACAGCCATGATTAGTTAGAAAATCATAACTGTGGTTGCTGGATGTCTGCTGGCATAATTACATCAGCATGCTAATGTCGTTTTAATGGTCTCTAATGATGTAATAAGAAATAATGGGATTTATTTGACAGCTACATAACCATTAACAAAACATATTAAGCATAACTAGCACTTCCATAAAAATGCAGACGCTATCGGCAAGCACTAGCCCACGTGTCCTGTATTTTCCACCTCTGAGACAATGAGTGGCTCCGAGCATGAGCTCTCAGATGAGGCAATGGCCAAGGCAGGTCATGCTAGCTCTGAGTCCCCCTTCCTGAGATACTTCTGAGGTCCAGTCGGTGCCTGAGTCAGTCTGGGGAACATGTATCCATCGCTGTTAAGCCAGAGGGTTAAGGCATTTAGATGCAGCTCATGCACCCAGAGAGAAGAGCTGGAAACACTGGCATCCACACCAGCAGCAATACAGTGGCTGGGTGGCGCAGACTGCTGGCCACGAGCGGAGGAGACTGTGCAATCAGATCGGATCTAGTTCAGCTTGCAGCTGGGATTAGGACAGGGAAGAGGGGGAGAAGCCAGCAAAGACCCCAGGGGCCCCTAGAGGCTGTGTTCCACTTTTGTCAGGCAGGTTGCATGCTGGTTCCAGTCATAGAAAGGAGGAACACAGGTTTTTGGAATGGAAGGAGGGCTGGCTAGTAAAATTCACAAAGAATTTGGCTGGGGAAGCTCAGGCCTTCTCCCCAGAGAGGCTGAGCCACCCATCCCTGTGTCAGGAACAGGAAGGGTCTATGGTAAACCTGGAGGTGGGAACAAGGCATAGACACCTAGGTAGGGAAAAGGAGTTGGAGTAGGGGTCTTGGAGTGGAGACGAGGCCATTGCTATGCTAGCCCGTGATCCCAGCACCTCCTCCCTGTGTCTGGGCCAAAGGGTTGTGAACCTCTATTCAAACATTACCACACATATTAATTACCACTCTTATTGCTGTAATAAAAGACTTAATGAAAGGTGATTTTATTTTGTTTTACAGCTTGAGGGTATCCATTACAGTGGGGAAGGCATGACAGAAGGAGTCCAGTGTCGATGAGCAATTGTGCCCACAGTCAGAAAGTGGAAAGTAGGAGGTGAATGCTGGTACTCACCTCATTTTATCTTCTCTCTATATATATATATTTAATTCACTATAGGCTCCTGGGACATGGGGTGATATTCAGGGAATATCTGCCCATCTCAGTTAGGCCTCTCTGGAAACACCATCACAGGCACACCCAGAGCTGTGTCCCCTAGGTGATTCTAAATACAGTCAAGTTGACAATGACAATGATTCTGTTGGCTTAGATAACAGGGAAAGACTCGGGACAGCTCATGAGCCCATTCTTGGAGACTGATGGCGGAGGAACAACGCAAAGAAGCATTGGCCCATCCGAGACAAAGTAGGAAGGAGGTTGGACAGTGATGGGAAAAGGAAGGCCCTGGGCTTCTGACCTGGAAAAACTGCTCAACAGCCTGGACAGCCACAGCAGCTCTCCCAGAAGTAAAACCTCTTACCTTGCCTTAATAGCTCCCAAGGCAGAGCTCCACAGAGCGGAAAGGGAACATATCTGCCCAGGACACCGCCACTGCAGCCCTTAGGGTGGTGAGCGACGCTGTCTCCCACCGGCCACAGTCAGGGTCACCTTCCTAGGGCAGGTGCCAGCTCCTCAGGGTTCCAAGATATGCTAGAACCGGTGGGGAAGAGGGAAGTGGCGAGGACTCGCTGGGTCTCTCAGGGATTGCTTGTAGCGGGACCACAGGGCCCTCATCCATCTCTCCCTCTACCATCTTACACTCGGCTCTACGCCCACACGACAGTGCCTCAGGGCCTGTGTGCACACCGTGTAACAGCTCTGCCATGCTGCCCCTTCCATCACAGGCGAAGAAAGGGGCACACAGGGCAGCAGGGGCAACATGCCTCTCCAAAACTCACACTCCCAGACACACACCACACACACACCGGCTCTCCCTGCCGTATGCTACACAACCAAGAAAGGTTTTTGTCAAGAAGAATGATGCGTTTTAGTGAAGGCCCTTTAGGCCACAGTAAGCTTTGCAGGGAAACTCTATGTGCCAGGGTGGGTGTGGGCAGCAGAGACCCTGTGTGCTGTGTTTTCCTTTTTTCTGGTCGTCTGCGTGGGGTGCCTCCCATGGAGGCTGGCCCACCCTCCTGTGCTCCAGTGGCAGCAGCCCTTCTTGAAATCTGCTGACCCAGTCTCTCCCACAGTATGATCACGTTAGCATGTGCCACTCAATAGCCTGAGTCGGACACACATCCAACAAGTGCCAGGGACCAAGAGAGAGCCAGTAGCCTGGCCACCATTCAGTCCTTATATCTCATTTTACACATCCTAGTCTCTCCCGATGGTACACTTCCCTTTGACCTAACACCCTGCCCACTGAGGCAGCAACATGGCTGGTATTCCTCCACACACAGCACCTTATCCAGTAGCCATACACTTTGCAAGGAATAAAAACATTGGCTATTACCAATGGTACAAGGACATTGGCTGTGGCTGAAAGCCCAGGGCACAGGCTTCCAAGACAGTGCCAGGCCCTTGTCCACAGAGGCAGCCAGGCCACTGCAGGCTCTTCCTCAGAGGCTGGAGCCCATTGGAGCTGCTGCAGAGTCAGTGATGGCAGCTGCGGTGGCCTCCGGAAGCTGGCCTCCACCACACCACTGCCGAGAGAACAGGCATCTTATAATTAAATGTGGGTTTCAGCTGTATTTAAATAACTTTCCAAAGCTCAGGGGAATTCTCCTTTCATTTCTGTTCTAAACAGCTATTCTGATATAATTAACAAGAACCCCAGGCATGCGGCTCACAAACCAATTTCCAAGCCTTACACAATGTGGGGCAGGAGCAGGACAGCAGGCCGGGAGCCCGTACTTACTTGACATCTGAGAAGAGGCTGGAAGGCACCTGGAGAATGCGTGCAACTTCATCCATCAGCTGCTTCCCCTTCTCTGGACTCAGGGGGCTGGAGAAGAGAAAGAGAATATCATTGCTGAATCTTGACTACCTTTTGCTATTAAACTTGGTCGGCCCTGGGCCTCATCGCGCTGCAGCACGCGCCCTGATGCACGGCCCTGCTGTTCTTCTGGCTGTGGGTGGGTCCCTGACTGCCAGCAGGACAGTCTGCTGTGGCTCTGGGAGAAGGGACTGCTGCTTCCTGATGGGTGCTCTGCTGCTCCGCTGACCTAGAGTGCTGGGCCCTCCTCTGGGGTCTGCTCTTTCCCGAGGCACCCCAGCATGGGGGAGTTCTCAACACTTGGTCTGTTCTGGGCCTTCTGGCACTGGATGCTGGGAGGTAGACTACCCTTGACACATGCCCTGCCTGGGGTAACTGTCCCCCCCCCCTCTGTTGCACAAGCCACTCTGAAGCAGCTGCTGCTCCCCGTCAGACATCTGATTCTCAAGGGCAGGGGATGCTATTGTCCAGTGCAGGCCATTCCCTGCAGGCACTCCGCCTGGGAGCCATCCAACAGACAACCGTGGGGGAGAAGCGGCTCTCCTGCCTGGACCCTCCTCTTGGGCCACTGCTTCCTTACACACACACACACACACACACACACACTCCTTCCTGTGTGGGTGCTCTCTGAGGCAAGCTCCGCTCAGGAGCCTGCTGTTCTCTATGTGGCTTGCTCTGGGACTTCTGCTTCAGGGATCAGGTGAGTCCTCAGGCATGATGAATCACCTGATTTTCCAGCAATCAGACAGACAATATGGTGCAAATGGAATTGTTAGGAAGTGTAATGGGCCTGTGATGCAGCCACAGGCTCATCTCAGCCTTCAATAAAAATATAATAAAGAGGTTAGAAGGGAGGGGAGGGGAGAAGGAGACAGAGTAGAGTTGAGTAGGGGAGCAGAGGCTGAAAATCAGATTGCTGGGTGGCATCAAGTGCACAAAAGAAACAGCTATTTTACAGATTCCTCTCTAACGTGAATTACAATGCTGGGGACAGGGTATTTAAACTCCACAGGCCAGTCAAACGCTTGGCACGTGAATGGGCATCAGTGGTAGATAGAGGTGCCTGCAATGAGGGCTGCCACCCCAGGAGTGTGCTGGGCTGCAGGCTTCCGGCGGGTCAGCACTGGGAGAACGGCTTGATTATGAGGCAGAAGCAAGGACCACGTTGGTTTGGACGTTCTCAGAACCAGCCCTGAGCTCCAGAATTCTGTCGCACAGATCACAGCTGCCTGTGAAATCCTATTAGTACCACCTCAGTGAAGTCTTAATTGGTACTGGTAGAGCAGAAAAAAAAGGCTTTCGGCCAGAAGAGCAAACAGAGAAGGGATGGGGTGACCATCTCTGCTCCCTAAGACTCTAGTCATGTAACAGACAGCAAGAAAGCAAGTAAAACCACAAGTGTGGTCAACGGTCACCATCACTGACGTCCTAACCCCCGTGCCATGTGACTATCTGGAAACAGAGTCCTTGGATTTGATTTGTTGAGTCACTGGTGCCCTTTAGGAAGAGAGAATTGCACGGCCCCTGGGGAACCATGTGAAGACTGAGAGAGACTACTGCAGCCAAGGTCCATCTCAGACCAGCAGCTGGATATCAGCCTGGGGACAGAGCCCCCCTCAGCTCAGGTGAGGGCTGAGGGATCCGTTGGTTGGCTGAGAACAGAGAAGTGGGGAGGCCACAGGAAGGTGTAGCTGTGTACTGAGCAGAGTAGCTGTGAATCTGGAGACTGGCAGCCAGGTGGTCACTAAGAGTCAGCCGAGGGAGGGCTGTGGAAGCTTGCAGCTCAGGTTCCATAAACACTCCCGAGTTTAAGGAAGCAGCAGGAGAAAGATCATGCATCTGCAGAGACTAGAGCAATCCCCAAAGGTGGGAAGGAGGAAGCCTGATGTCAGAGTGTTCACAGAGATGAAGGTGGGCGCATTCGTGGGGTCACTGGTGAGCTGGGGTAAGTGGACCAATGACACAGGAGGTCTGGCTGGAGGCTCCTTTATGGAGAGGTAAAGGGTGGACAGCAAAGAGCTCAGGAGTTCTGCCTGGTCAGAAGGGAGAATGTTTAAGTTGGGGATGGATACTCTGCTTGTGCCAGAACTGCTATTCTGAGATGCAGAATAGCATCTCAGAAGTTGGCGTCTGGGCAGTTGGCATCTTTCCTGAGAGACAAGGATAACTTATCCTTGGGAAAGACATGCTGGAGCTGAAAAGCTAGTCACTATTCATCCACTAAACAAGTCTGTAAGAGTGCAGGGTCCAGGGCTCATGGGGCGACCTGGATCCTTGGAAGGTTAGTAGTAGGGGAGGCCTCAGAGCCACCACGGGATTAGCCACAGATGAAAAGAGAGGGAGATGGGCATGGTAGGTAAGAACTCACTGGGCCCAGAAATCTATGAAGGCTGAGTGGATGCTGAAGAGCAGCACACTGCAAAATTACATAAGCTGTGCTCACAACCATGATGAGTGTGAGGACCTAGGAAGAGCTGACCATAGGCCACATGTGTTTTCATGTATACCAATGCTTGATACCTCTCTTCATACACCAATACCCTTCCCAGGAACCACATCCACCCTCCCTCACATATTAACACACTGCTACACAGACAGACACACACACACACACACCCTCCATGCCTAGGCCCATACATCAAGATATTTCTCAAGCACACGCTATGGCAAACCCTTGGTAGCCTTGAAGACCTGAGTCCCCTAAACCTGACGCTGAGCTTTCACTGTTGGACTTTGGGTTCCCTTGGACTTGGAACCCAAACTGGGCCCTGGTTCTTCCGTCTTGAAGTAAGAAGAAAACTATCTAACTTATTTATTTTACTATAGCCTACAGTTGAAAGACCTTGAACTTTTGAACTTTGAACTCCATAAGCCATACTAAGACGGACATGCTCACAGGCTCATGTTTCAAGATGCAGTGGACCATTTACACAAATGTACACCTACCATGATGGACACCAGACTCAAGCACACTTCTGTCTTGATGCATGCCAAGAAGAGGCAGCACCCTCAGGCCAGCAGGAACTGTGGCCGTATGTACATGCTGGGACCTACAGGGAGTCTGTGGCCTCCATCCACAGCATCTTGCCATCTCCACTGAGCTTAGATTTCTAGTGTGACAAAACACTATGAACAAAAGCAACCTGGGGAGCAAGGGTTTTTATTTTGTTTATACTTCCGAGTAACAGTCCTCCCCGAGAGAGGTCAGGGTGGGAGCTAAAACAGCAGGAGCATGGAGGAACGCTTACTGATGTGCTCTTACAGCGCACAGGACAGTAAACCCAGGGTGGCACCACCCAGTGGGCCGGGCCCTCCCACATCAATTACCTCTCTAGAAAATGCAGCACGGCCTTGCCCACAGGCCAGCCTGGCCAGAAAGTTTCTCAGTTGAGGTTCCTACTTCCAAAATGACTCTCTGCATCAAGTCTGCATAAAAGTAGCCACCAGAGTCAACCTCTTGTCAACATGACAGTTAAACAGATCAGTGTTAAGCTACAACTTCCCTTTACTGTTCATTCTCAATATCTCACATTAATGTCAGTATCACAAAATAAAATCTCCAAACTCAAAAGTCCCACAGTTTTAAAATACCCAAACACTTAAAAATCCAAAGTTTCTCTAGAATTGCAACGTTTCTTTAAAATATCCAAAGTTTCTTCATAAGTTCAAAGCTTTTCAGACTCCTGTAAAATCAAAAGTAGGTTAGATAGTTTCCTTCTTACTTCAAGAGGGAAGAATCAGGGCACAGCTACATCCAAATCCAAGTAAACCCCCTTCCCCCACCAAGAAAGCTCAGTGTCAGATTTATGGCTAGTCTCCTGGGCTCAAGCTCACTTCTGTACACCTGCAGATGTCCTGGGTGGGCATCACATGGTACTGGGATCTCCAAAATGCTTAGGATCTGGAATACACCTTCACCAACAGTCTCTCAGGGCTCTCTCGGGGATTCTGGCTCTTGTCACATGCCAAGCCTCAATCTCTCACCAACACCACTTCAATCCTGGGCCTTCTACTTTAGCTGAAGCCACACCTTCGCCAATGGCCTCTCTTGGCTTCTCCTTCCCGGCTCCAATCCTGCTGAGCCCAGCGGCTCTCCTTAGGCCCTCATGCCTTCAAAACTAGCACCACATGGATGACTATTACATTACCAAGCTCCGCTGCCAGCATGAGGAATCACCATGGCTGCCTCTAGACCACAGTGTCTGTGTGCTAACTCTAAAGAAGACCTCTCATCTCAGTGATGCTTGTCCCTCCTTAATCACAGCTGATTCTGCAGTCCCAGCTTACCAGTGCAGATTGTCCCAGAAAAGCAGTGATTTAGTCTCTTGTTAATCACAGCTAATTCTTTAGATCCAGTTGACAAGAACCACAAATTCTTAAATATCACACAATGGCTCTGACAGAGTTTTGGCTCCCCTCTGAAACATCATAAGCCAGGATTCCATTGTCTGCATCTCTTATAGCATTCCTGTTTTCCAAGTTCCCACAAAACAGCCCATGAAACTATGTGCACTTTCCAAGTCAAAGTTCTGAAATCCTTCCACAATCCTCTCCAAAACGTCATGGTCAGGTCTATCATATCAATACCCCATCCCTGGTATCGATTCTATCTTAGCTGGGGTTTCTGTGGCTATGAGAATACACAATAACCAGAGGAAACTTGGGGAGGAAAGGATTTATTTTCCTTATACTTCCACTTTCCAGTCCATCATTAAGGAAAGTTGGGGCAGAAACTGGGAGGCAGGACTTGATGCAGAGACCAAGGAGGAAAAATGGCTTACTGGCTTCCTCAGCCTGATTTCTTATAACACACAGACTACCAGCCCAGGGACGGTGCCACTCACAGTGAGCTGGGCCCTCACACATCACTCATCAATTATGAAAATGGACTACAGGCTTCTCACAGGCCAAACTAGTGGGTAAATTTTATCAGTTGAGGTTCCTGCTTCCAAAATTACTCTGGCTTGTTTCAAGGAGACATAGAGCGAGCTAGCATACCCTCCCTGATC